GAAAAATATAAAAATGTTAAGAATAAACAAAAAAACTGGAAAATATTCTAATCTACTTGATTATTAAATATCAAGCAGATATTTAGTAATTGCCTACTAAATATTTTTCATATCCCTCCTTCCTATGTTACCAAGTGAATCTTTTCTTTTTCATTTTTTAAATTTCACTTTTCAAAGTATTATACAGTGAACCTGACCTTTTTTCCCCCTTTTGGTATAAAGGCTCTAGGAAAAAAGATGAACATATGCAGATTTGTGTTATCAACATCACCACTATGGTGAACAGTTTCATCAAACCCCAAAACTCCCTGTGCTTTGTTTATAGTTCTGGCAACCACTAATCTGTTCTACAAGGCAAACCATAGCATAATTTCATACTAATGTGTATTAAATAAGTTTCTATTTTTTAAAGCAAGATAAGACAGGCTAATAAAGTAACCCCCTAACTCATTTTATAGCTTTATAAAATTAGACAGATCTCTGTAAAACATTTAAAAGAAAAACATCAAAAGTGAAATATGTAACACAAATGGCTTTGATTTTCTTAAGGATTATTTTTTATTTGGGAAAATAAACCTGGTTTCTCAAATACAGACTACTTTTAAATGAATCAGTAAGTATGACTTCAGTTCTCTTTGTAAGTAGAGTACTGCTCATAATTTACTACAATATTTATGTTTACAAATTTTAAGCAAAAGCTAAATACTTCCGGTCTTAATACTTATCAAAAGCATCGTAAGTTACCCACATGATAATCTTTTAAAGAGTGCAGCCATCTGGTCTGGTTTGTCAAAGCTGGTCCTCATTTGTGTTAGCACGTCAACATTCTCCACCACAAGTTTCTAAAAAGAAGAAAAATCCCAAGTCAGGCACAGACCTCCCTGTGTTAATGAGATAAGAGCATGCTTGGAAACTACAGCCTGGCATTCAGGAAGTCGAGATACTCGATGCTATATATATTTTATTGTTTTACTAAGGGAATCTTCAAATTCACATAGGCTTAATGTTTTCTTCAGTTCGCAAATTCAGGAAGAGAAGAGTTCAGGAAAAAAAGCAATAAAGATAAGTAGTAGGATAAAAACATATCTTCTCCTTACACACAGAACAGTATTAATAATAAAAAGCAGACACTGAAGTAGATATAGAGAGCAATAAATTCCACTGAAAAAAAATTCTTGTTGTTTAAGCTAGCTGAAAATAGCTTAGAGTTCACTGCTGGATACATACAATCAGAAGAAAAACAACTTGTTGGGGTATGGTACCACTTTCATGTGGATTATAACAGAGCAGTATTTTCCAGTACAAATTATCAAATGGAAATGTCAACAATTTACCTTCTTTTTCAGGGATCATTGAGAAAGGAAAGAGAATAGAAAGAAGGAAGGGATATAAATATGGAAAGAGAGTTGAGTGAGGGATAACTATTTAAGAAAAGTGTAGCCCTGGCTGGTGTAGCTCAGTAAATTGAGCGTGGGCCTGCAAACCAAAGGATCGAGGTTCGATTCCCAGCCAGGGCACATGCCTGGGTTGCAGGCCAGTTCCCAGCAGGGAATGCATGAGAGGCAACCATACACTGGTATTTTACTCCCTCTCTTCTTCCTTTCCCCTTTAAAGATAAATAAATAAAATCTTTTAAAATTTTTTTTAAAAAGAAAAGTGTAACTCATTAAAGAATATTTTTCTTTAAAGAAGCATTGGAAAAGTAATTTAGTTTAAAAATTGTAACTAAGACAAATGGCCTGGATTTGGACATATGTAGTTCTGAATACACACATCCAATTTCAATCCAGCAGGTCTAGGTATAAAGACATTGCAAACACACTGTTAAAGTGCCACTGTGATTTTGTTATGAGCCAAAGGCTAATGCCAAGTGTTTCAAGGGCAGCATGAGTAACTATACAGGAAATCTATAAAAATCATTTTTCCTATACTAGTATGACTTTGGTTTACTTTACTTGATATTATATCAGATTACTTTTCTTTATGATCCCAACCAAAAATGTTCAGCTTCAGTCACATTTATTTGCTAAATCATCTCCTATACTCTAATTATACTGCCTGCTCTCTCTGGGGTCAATTCAATATTTGTTCTATTCTAAAGCTTGATTCAACCAATATATGCTCAACTACATGCTAAATTCTGACAGTACTCAGTTGCCTTTAATATAATATCACATGTCAGTGAATCAAAGACACCACTGAATTTTAAATGCACCATTATATTATGGGCAAGAAAACGAAACTTCATCAATTAAACTGAAACATTTTCTAATCACCTGACTATAAAACATATAATTTCAGAAATATTATTCAGAAATAACTGTTTTAGAATCAATAAACTATAGTATATATTTAATATTAAGAATACTAATCATTTTTAAGCCCTTGTACTAGGCAATTCATAAACAATCCCATTCACTCTGATCCAAATGAGAGAGAGGATATCCCAGTTTTACAACTGAGGAGACTAAGGCTCACAGAAGTTAGATGAGTTGCCCAAAGTAGCAGACATACGGAATTGTAAAATTTAGAATCTGAATATAGGTTTGTCTGATTTAAAAATCTATCCCCTTAATCCCTAAATAAGTGGTTCCCAATCTTCAGTGTATATCAGACTGATCTGGAGAACTTACTAATTAAAACACACACTGCTGAGTCCCAGCCCCACATATCCTGATTTAGCTGGTCTGAGATGGAACCAAAAACTGTGCCTTTTTAAACAAATTCCAAGGTAATGCTACTGCTGCTGCTACTATTGCTCATTTGTTAGCACATTACTCTTTTTAAGAAGCTAATTATGTCTCCTCCTGAAAGTGTAGCTTATATATTTAAATTTTTTCTTTTCTCCCTCAATTTTATCCTGAAACAAAATTCTCTATATATTTAAGGCTATTGATTAATATCACTGATAAATAAAGTGAAAGTTAGAATACTAGGAATTACCAACTAAATAGTTTAGAACTGAGACAAATCACTTAAAACAAATCAAGATCACTAGAAAAAAATAAAAAGAACATTTCCTGTTAAAAAGAACGTTATATTCTTGACACAATTCATATTCCAATTTCCTGCTCCATTTGAGATAAAGTAAAAAGCTTCCAGAACTTCATGAAGAACTGAAGAACTGACCTGTGAAATGCCAAAACAATTCTTTTGGCAGGATTGGAAGAATAAATTGACTCAACAGGCATAACTCCAAATGAAACACCCCAAGAATTTTAGTAGAAAAGAAGACTGGTTGTTTTCTTCTCCAGAAAGTAATAAACATGTTTTACCACAAGTACACACTCAGTGTTGACTATGTCTGACACACGATTTATTCACAACCATTAAATATAAAGACGCTCTCCTTTTTTTAAAACTGGCACACAATCTTACTCTTTGAAACAAAAAGGTCTTCAGCTAACACAGACAATAAAACAATTAAGGTCGTCCTTAACATAAGAAAGATAACATAGCATTTAGTTTGTCAATTTAGAAAATAAAAGCTAAGACGTTACAGAACAATTTTAAAAACATTTTAATTATCCCTAAAACATTTGATGCACTAATTTCAAAAAGACTAAAATGCTATTAGAGGCATCACCATGCTCTAATGTAGACAGTATGGGCCACAATGTAACAGTATGGGCCACAATGTAGACAGTATGGGCTACAATGTAACAATATGGGCCACAATGTAGACAGTATGGGCTACAATGTAACAGTATGGGCCACAATGTATTCAGAGGGGTATTTGAAAATATTTTAAAAATTTTAATGTTCATATCCTTTGATTCACTTTCAGATATTTTCCTATAGGAATTCTCAAATAAGTATGTAAACTAGGTTGGTCATGCTGGTTAAAAGCAGAGAATCTGTCTCTCTCTCTCTCCATACATACATATATAGATATGTAGATATAGATATAGATATAGATATAATCTCCTTTAAAGAACATTTTCTCATGGTTTTTAAATTGTATGTGTGTGTATGTAAATATATATATAAAACTATATTAACTGTGTGTGTGTGTATGCTTCATCCAGGAATTGAGGAAAAGTATAAAGACATAAATCTACAATAACAAAAGAAATAAGAGGAAACAAAAGCAAATTAGAGATGCCAACAAGTTCCTAGAAATGGAAATAAGCAAAAAATACATAGAGATGAGAAATTTGTTCAGCAAGTTCCTCTAAGGAGCTTCTACACAAATGCAGAAGGCAAGCTAATGAATGTCTCAGAAACTGTAGGCAGTGGCATAAAAAGGAAGACTTGAGGCTGAAAAGAAAAGGGTTATTACATGTTTCTCTGGGGCTGCTATACATGCAACTTATCATCTGTGAAGCAATGTCAGTAAAGAGGACTTTAAATTCAGGAATATCAGGAACAGAACATGGAGAGGGAGGAAGAATGTGGCTGAAGAATCAGGTCAGCCAGCCGGAGTACTAAACCTCCTTCCTGCGCCCTCTGCTGATCTTCAACAGACTTTCACTCTCCAACTGCAGATCACTGTTTGAAAAATTACTTGCAGAAATCATCTGAAACCTAATTAAGACACCTTTGTCCAGAGAGAATTCTTACTAGCTTCTGCCAAGTACCTTAGGAAAGACACTACTAATCTAGGACCACCATATTCCAGGTTCGACTCAAAATTTATCAGAAAAAGAGAGCGACACTGTAACAAAGCTGTAAATCCTGCGGAGGGGTAAGTCATCTCCAGTTCACTGTTACCCTGAAGTTCTAACCCTTCAGGATATATATGTAAAAAAGGTGAAGAGGAATTTAAGCAGATTTTACACTCCCCACTGTAGGCAGGCTTTGGGTTTTATTTACAAACCCTTTTACCTGGCAATCCCACCATAATTAAAGATCAATGTTACAAATGTTACTTCTGAATCAGCAGATGTCCTCAGGTCAAAAGCCATTTCCAGTGCTAGGCTTATGTCTTGAGTTCTTTCATTCTCCTTGATTCTGGCCTAGAAATACCACCCTTTTATAGCTCTTAATTTTTTTTCCAATGTCGAACTGGTAATGTGCTGATGTCGTAACAAGGTTTGTGGGAGGCACATGTCACATAAGAGCGTGAACACCCACACATCACACTTATGAACCCCAATGTTCATAGCAGCACAATTTACAACAGCTAAGTGCTGGAAGCAACCTAAGTGCCCATCAGTAAACAAATGGATCAAAAAACTATGGTATAAATTTAACTATGTATGGTTACATTTACACAATAGAATTCTGTACAGCAGAAAGAAAGGAGGAGCTCCTACCCTTTGTGACAGCATGGATGGAACTGGAAAGCATTATGCTGAGTAAAATAAGCCAGGTGGTGAAAGACAAATACCACATGATCTCACCTTTAACAGAAATCTAATCAACAAACAAGCAAAATATAACCAAAACAAACAAACAAGCAAAATATAACCAAAGACACTGAAAGTGAGAACAGGCTGACAGTGACCAGAGGGGAGAGGGGAGGGAATTTCAGGGGAAGGGAGGAAGGGTTTGAAAGAACAAGTACAAAGGACACATGGACAATAACGGGGGGCGGGGGGGCTGGGGGTAAAGGGCAGAAAACTGTACGTGAACAATTAAATTAAAAAAAGAAACCCAAGCTAATTCACAACCATGTCTCTCAAAGATAATGAATCAAGGTCTTACATAAAAAGTTTCTTTCATCTAGGTTCTGGACTCAAGTTTAATATTATCAGCTATTTGAAAAAGAATCCAGCCAAGAAGCAACATTCTTAAATCAGAGAGTTTAATAGCATTTTAAAAAGCCAAGATTATGAATACTATTATCACATTAACTTTAAATTTTACTAATCTCTGAAAGAAAATGCAATCACTCCAAGATATAATTGAAATGTTAAAACCTAAGCTCCTTCCATTTCTTTTCAAGAATAAAAATATATTTGATAACATTAACACTTAAGGAAAAAACTAAAGCAAAATTTATAAAAATGTTACTAAGACAAAGAGTGAAAAGATCCATAGATAATGGACAACTTCTAACAAGATCATTGGAAGATTTCTTGTCAGCTAAGTGAGAATCATCCCTTTCCACCCTGGCAAGGCTTCTGGAGTAATACTGTCCAGTTCTTGCTTGAAGTCATCCTGGGCTTGGACCACTAGCTCATGATACTGAGACACAACTTTAGCTTCAGTCTGAGCTGGTTCAACATTTTGGACCACATTATGCAGATCAACTATAATGTTGTGAAGTTTCCCCTCTGTAGCAGTTTTATGAGATTTGGCCACAGCAACCTCTTATCTCTTTGCATTTTCAATAATACTTAACATCTTCTCTAACTGGCCTTTGGCTTTGAGAAGGATATGGCAGCCTTATCTACTGCCTTTCTGGATTCCTTCAATGCACCCTCCACTGTGCACCACTGACCTGACTTCTCACCTGCAACCTCAGAACCATCCACAGCTACTTTCAATATGCTGCAGTGGGTGATGACAGCCTGGACTGCAGCATTCTGAGCTACAATGGCCTGCTGAGTGGTGCAAGCAATTTGGCTCAGAACATCTTCTAAAGACTCAAGCTTAATTTGTTCTTTCTTTTCTTGTTGTGCAAAGCAAGCTGCTCCAATGGTTGCTCCATTACAGAAGTGCAGCATGCTTCCCATGAAGTTATAGGCTTGAGCTTTTCCTTCACCAATTTCAGGGTGATCAGTTTTTATAGATTGTTCAGCCTGAACTGCAGGGGCTGGGACCGACAGCACATCACCTACTGCTGTTGAAGCTGGAGGGTCTCCCCTTTGTTTTGGGAGTGGTGAAGCAGGCTGTAGGGATCCTTTTTCATTACCTCTGGCACACACAACATTTTTAGTGGACCAGACCGTAGGCTTCTTTGGCAATGGAATATTATAAGAGGGGAATAAAAACATCCCAGAGCTTGTCTGAGTAAGATGTGGGCTTTTCTACATTGTTCTGGAATCCCACTTGGACAGGTTAGTGACACCAATACCTCCAGAAACAAACAAAAGACCAGTTCCCGCAATTCTGCCAGGAAGCCAACCCAGAACTGACTGAAATAGAGTATCTACAGAACAGTCACCAAAGACAGAGGATAAACTTCCCTCAGAGACAACTTGGAGCGATGGAGTTCACACCAGATAACTACAGGCCCATATTATCTGAGCTGGGCGGCCAGGGCTGATGGTACACACTGAAGCTATGGTGAGAGGGGAGGGAGGGTTTGCATGCATGTGTGTGTCACAGCAAAAGTTTTAAATATGTGAACTGTAATCTTGTCAAAAACAGTCTCTGCTTCTTGACTGATGTAAGAATAAGGACCAACCAAAAATTACTATTTAGATATTGAGTACAGTATTAGTTACACAGGAATTGATGAGACTGCCTCATTTTCAAAAAGACCAGATCATTCACGTAGGAAAATGTAGTGTATGTTCCAGGCAACAGGTAAGGATGGGTTAAATGAACGCTGGATCCCCTTCATTTCTAAAAACAGTACAGTACCATACTTAAATAAGCACTGGAGTTAGGTAGACAATACAGGTTCAAACTCTAGTTCCACCACTTTATTAAGCATGTGTGCCTGTACAAGTTACTTAATATTTCTTGATCTTACGTTCATAATTGGTAAAATAGGGACAATTCCAGTTCCAATGACTTAAAGAAATTTATGTATGTAAAAAGTCTGGAAAAAGTGATGCTTGCTATTTTAAAGTATGGACAAGGAAAAACATTCTGATCGGGTGACATTTGAAAAATACATGAATGTTATGAGGAGGCAATCTGAGGCACAGCTCCGTGAAGATTACTGGAGGTGACACAATATACACGCCAACCAGGCTGGAGAGGCGGGTGAGGAAAAGTCAAAGGCCACGTCCTTCCAGTACTGTCAGGGACATCGGGTGCCTTCAAACTCTCATAGATATGAACACAGGGAAATCCAAATAGACTAATTTTCATGACTACATCACAATACTCAAACAGCCACATTAAACAGCAAAGAAGTACTAACAGTGCTAACAATTTCAGAAGTCCTTATTTATTCAGTTTAAATTAAAAATTATTGGCAAAAGTAAAATTGCTGGGCCACAATTCTTCTATTGTCCCATACGGAAAGGAACACAAGAAAGTAACTGGAAATGAGAAATCTGTTATTTGAGGACAACAGCACAGAAAAGAGATAAAGTATTTATAGGGGAATGAGTCTAATAAATAAAAAGATATTGCTTGTAAAGGACTAAAACTAGCATTGTGATGTTTGTGCACCTAAAACTACATTAAGTACAAAGTTTGTGTATTTAAAATCTACATTATGAAATATCTAAAAGTTGACTTCTATGTAAGAATTGTGAAAGTCTTTTAAAAAAGACAATGAGGTAATAACGACATGATGAATACCAAAATAAGATTTACTCAGTACGTACTCTGTGACAGGCACTATGCTGAATACTCAAACATTTGGTATGTAGTAATTAGCACACATAATTCTCTCAAAGTAAAAGCATAGTGAGTTCAAATTTTGCCTAAAGTCAATGTTCATAACTGACAGCACTGAATTTTAGGACAGCCTGATTGGAAAGCTTAAGTCCATAACCACTGGGTAATATTGCCTCTCCCTTTAGCCACACTGACTCTTGCCACCTATTTGATTCACTAAGCAAAGTATTATTAACCATGCAGGAATTGGCTTATCCTATGTATTTGTTTGACTTTCAGTAAATCAGATTACTATTTGTAAAACAGAACAAAACAAAGATGCTATTTAAAGATGCGTGGACCAAGACAGCAAGTGGTGACTGCGGTGGGGAGAGGGGTGGGTCGAGGTGGAACAGGGTACAGGAGGGATAAATGGTAATAAAAAAAACCAATAAAATAAAAAGACCATGCTAGTGCTATAATTTCATTTACATATGAGAATGTTCATGTCAGGTTAGAGTAATTAACACTCTAGGCTTACTGCTCATTTTCTTAAAATGTTTTTTAGGAATTTATGTTTACTAGCTAAAAGTAGTAAATACTGCATTACCTTAAGTTCAGCAACTTGCGATGAAATATGCCACATAAGGCTTTCACTTAGGAACTTCATACCATATGGGCCTAGCAGTTCTGATAAGGATCTCATTTCTGAAAGGAAATGTAATTAATTTTATACTATGACAGAGCAAATACTTTAAGAACATTAACATACTGAAATATTATATTACAGAAGCCAATTACTAATGCAAAAATCTTGATAAGTCTCTAGAGTAAAAAAAGTGACAAAAATGTAAAGGTAAGTCTAAGATATAATGTATGATTATGCATGTAATTAAATGAAAACACTCACAATAAAATCAAAAGCCAAAAAATAAATCAAGCCTTCTTCATTCTCTAAAACACTGCATAGAATTATTTACCTGATATGTCAGAATATTCCTCTGCATTGAATGTTAATTCATTTTCTGTAGGTAAGTTCACAAATGCTTTCATCGCAGGGAAATAAGCTATATGACCATTGCTGACTTGTCTTAACAAAGTTTCCAGGTACCTAAGAAGAAAAGTAAATTTGTAACTGGAAGAAACTGTTTAATCCAAAATTTATTATGGTATACATTCTTTCATATAATTTTAAGTTGCCTGATAATATGAATGAGCACTTATCCATAAAAAAATAACTTTCCCAAGCAGTTCATTACAACTTTATATCACTCCAAATTTCCAAATGTGTTCCTTACCAGTTTGTGTATAGACTTGTAATGGTTGGCTCTCCATGGCTGTCTAAATGTTGTGTTTGTTGAAGAAGAACATTATTAAATACTCTTGTAATATCAATTTGCACATAGTTTTCTATTGACTGAAGTACACTCATGTATGCTCTTACACTTGTTAGAAGCTCTGATGGTTTTGCAATTTCTTGTGTGGCTTGATTATACATAGTCATTCCAACAATTGACCTGAGGCAAAAAAAGAATAAGAAAAGAGTTCTAAATTTTGCTTGCATATAAGCAGACCATTCAACCTAATCTGTAATACTAAATAAGAAGTGAAATTAATTTCAAATGCAATTTGTTACAAAGCCATGAAATTACTATCATCTTCCAAAGAAACAACCTAAAAAAAATGAAAGACTATCATAAAGGTACTATTGAAATGGGAATTAATCAAAAGTGACTTAAAAAATTCTAAAGACATCAGTAATAAAAATTATTTAAGGATAAAGTCTTCTGACATAATACATCATATGTAGCAAGTACAACAAACTATTTAAGCTACAGCTTGAATTCATTTGGCACTGTTAAATGCCAGTAATTTTTTAGGCTTTTTATATGTATTGGATGTAATTCTCATAATTAGTAACCCTACTATATAGTTATTATTACCACTATTTCACATATGAAAAAAAACTAAGCCTCAGACCTCAAGTAAACTGATCACAGTCACTCTGTTTGGAATTGGGGGGTGCAGGGTTTGGCAACACTTCTGCCTAACTTAGTGCTGCCTCCCAACAAAATGCACTAGTCAAAAGAAGACAACAAGCAAAACTTCATTGTTCTTTAATCACTTCTAACACATGAAACACAGTTCTATTTAATTTACATCCCAAGAAACTGCATAAGCCTAAAAAACCCACAAATTTTGAAAATACTTTCCTACATGATCTTTTCCTACACTGGCCACCTCTATTTCATAAAACAGTCACTAAGTTTAGATTTGCAAAGCTCCTGATTCTTTATCTGCAAGAACAAATCCTTAAAAACAGACAAACCTCACCAGTAGAAACAGTCCAAGACCAATTCAAGACAAGAATGTTATCCTTGTATATAGCCCTAAGTCCAAAGAGTGTGCTCAACTGATTAACTAAAATCAACCAACTAACATAAGCCGTAAGTGGTGGCATAGACTTTTCCCAGGTAAACAAGTTTACAGCCTTGGCTTGATACTGATTACTAAGGACAGACGTTTGGTAAAAAGAGTTACCTGCTTCTCTGTGGATTAGTGGACCAGGCTACATATTTACAAAAGAAAAACATGGGAGCTATAAACTAAACCCTACCTTCCACCCACCACTTTACCACCCCCACCTAGTTGAGAATGATGAATACCACAGGGCATGATGTCCCCTAGGTTTAAATACTAGCGCATCCTGAGTTTTACTGTCAGGATGACTACCTTACTAAAAAGGACAGCAGCAGACAGTCTTTGTTCAACTCCAGACCCTTCTCTAGTCACCTGATGACTTAACACTCAAGTCAGTGCCCGCTTATATAGTCTCCCACCAACTACAGCTTGAAGCTTTCTATCATTTCATTACTAATCATAGCACTTAACACAATGTTAATTAAGCATATGGTACAAATACTACTTAATGACCACAGAGCTTTGAAAAATCTTTAGCAAATATTGTTTTATTAAGTTGCTTTAAAGGCCTTTAAGACAAACTTGTCAAATCAGTATTTTTAATAGTTCATGTTTTTATTGTATTTTTTCCATGACCACTTATCCCTCCATATCCTCTTCCACCTCCATCTACCCTCCTGCTCTCCCCAATAAAATCAATTATTTTCTTTAGTAAGTGTGTAACTTTCGAAAAAGGATTAAGAAACATTTATAAAGTTGAAAGTTTCTGACTTCTCGCATGCAATATCATTTCAAGAAACATTATATATAACTTACAAAGCTCTAAATAGAACTGAATGTTTCAAAAGTCTTGAATTCTACTAGCGTAATAGCATATATTTGAATCTAGAAAAGACTTAAGAGGTCATCTAGTCCTGAGGTTTTCAAACATTTAAATGTTACCCGCTGTAAAATATGTATCCAGAATTACAACTCAGCACATACATGTAGGTACACAGATACCTAAAAAGTGTCATGAAGCAATACTTACACTTACTACAGTCGATGCACTAATTTTTTACATCTTTCTTTCCTTTCCTTCCCTTCCTTCTTTCTTTCTTTCTTTCTTTACATGCTTATTACAACCATCTAATCCATCTAATCTGATTTCATGACCCACTGGATTGCCACATGCCAGCTGAAATACACTGACTTGCTCCAATTTCCCCATTTTTCTTAAAAGGGAAGCCAAGGTTCACTGAAATTAACTGGCTTGACCAGTGTAAAAACTAGTTAATAACAACAAGTACAGGGCGAGAATCTGAATAATTTAAATAGCTCCCAGTTCACTATTTTCATACTTCCCAATTATTCTTTCTATTATACCAATTCTACTGATGCTTTTCCACATGAAAGGATATACTGTAGGAGTATGAATAATAAATATAAAAACTCATTATCTGAACAAAAATAATGTATGTTCTTTCTTACTTAGTAAAGCGAATTTCCAGATGAGAAGTCAAATATTCTCGTGGGGTAAAGGTATGTTCCCAAACCACCATGTTTGGTACATAATTTATAGAGAAACACAGCTCAGAAAGTGCAGTGTGCAATTTATCAAGGCTGAAAAAAATGGCAATAAACAGTAAATAAAATGTTCAACATTTTATAACAGCAATACAATATTAATTTTATAAATATATCAGATCTTATTTGGGATAATAATTAC